AATCAAAACAAGTGATTCAGCGAAGAGACTCTTTTCAACGAATTTATTATCAAGCTGTACATTCATATATATATATATATGTATATATATATATATGGTTTTTAAGAAGTTATATCAAGTGAGGGAATTGAATCATAGGTGTGAATGCATAAAATAATAATAGTAGTATGAAGTGCAATTAATATATTTTTGATTATAATCATAGTTAAGTGTCAAGTGGCAAAGCAAATTAATGTCACACATAGAATAATTCATAAGATGTATAGGACTTGAAAGGGGTATGGAATTATAGGATTAGTAGGCAAATCGAATAAAATAAAAAGATTACGTAACATTGTGTGAAAGTCGGTAACATCGAATTTAACGTTGCAAAACAGAAATGATTTAGAATGACAAGTGGAACGAGTGAAATAATACCGGGGACAGTTTAAAGTGAGAGTATTAATTGTAACAATTGACGTAATAAAGGAGGAGTACACAAATCGAACAGACAAAATGAAAAAAATTGGTAGAACCAAGATATGATTAGGGATTACCATACTTCAGCAGATAGGGATTAAGACCATGAAAGTTGGAGGGGTTGAATGAACATTTTCTGTACGCAGAGATCTGGCTTTTCTGTTTCGATAACCAAAACTTCAGCAATACGGATGATTCGGGTACGTAGTGATTTGGGTAAATTAATTTTTGCCTTGTAGATGACTTTAAAGGAGGAAATAGGGTGATCATTATCGGCCAGTTGTTCAGTGATAGCGCTTCTTATTGATCCACTTCCACCTCTTCATAATAATGCAGGATAGTGTTCTTGCATCCTCTTGTACAAAACTCTAATCGAACGACCGATATACCTAGCTCCCCACGAGTAGGGGAATTGATAAATGCACATAGAGTTGGTCAACAGTGGGATCTTGTCCTTCAGGTTATTGAACAGTAATCGTCGACTGGTAAAGGCTATTCTACTCCTCCTAGAATACACCAAAGTAGGTAAAGATTGACAATAGCTTTTCAGAAAGCTGTTTAAATAGATGTAATGAAATTTTTATCTTTTCTAAAAGCCTATGAAACCATAAATAGTAACCTCATGCAGATAGCAATCTATCATCGTCCGCTGTCGACTGTTTTCTGATCAGTATTATTATTTTTTATAATACTCCAAATAATTTCAGCCTGAAGTTATGAAAGGTTAATAAAGCACAGAATGATATCTATGAAAAATAATGGTTTTCATTCTTTGCCTTCAATGGACTATTTGGCCTACTACAATCACAGGTTCATAATAAATCCTTTCATCTCATGTAGAAAAATGTTACTGTACATTTTATCGTTGTCAAGTCTGCCACTTGTAGAGTGACAACACAGTAATTACAAAATAATACTTAAAAAATCTTATCCTTTTGATAATAAAAGATAATTTTAAAGTAATATCCCTTCACTTTAGTCGATGTTTTTTTCAAATAAGAAGGTAGTTCGTCGTATATAAATACTACTTGCCAGTTGTAATATGACGAAAAGCTGATAGAGTTTGAGTTTCTAAATGAGAGATTTCACCATTGTCTCTCCTAAATATTCGGAATTTAACTGAAACTGCTACCATTTATAACGGGCGAAAAACGACATTCATCGCTTGAGTGTGCGTGAACTGAAAACTAACTTGAGGACAGACAAATGCAATTTAATAATTATGAAAACTCTTTTCAACTGTAGTTTTCGTCTATAGATATTAATGCTAACCACATATTGACAACTTGGTTTTTTCAAGGACAGAAGCATTTAATTGTACTGTATGTATTTATAAATTTTGCGAATAAGTTAAACAGAGGACCTACTTAACCGATAACTGAAAGTGTTTAATCTTGATTGTATTTTTAAGTTGGTTTTGTATTACTCAGCTATGGCCTAACGAGAGAGTCAAATTTTAAATTATTTATTCAGTTAGTCAAGCAGGCTACTTTAAAATTTAGTTCATTAGGCTTATACTATCTTGGAGACTATTTGATACGTAATTTTTGTTTATTTCTTGTCTGGATCTGTTTGCCTTTAATGAAATAAGTTTTGACTGAATTCGTCTCTTTATTTCTCACCGATTAAAAATCTAATTACCATAACTTTTATTAATTTATTGATATGGATTTCATTTCTGTGGATTTCAATCACAAACATATTCATTTTCATGCTCAGAAGAGATGTTATCAAAATTAACTAACGACATTCACTTTCATTTCAGACTGATATTTAGCGCCTTTGAAATTTCTAGCTGAAGTAAAAATAATGATTAACGTTTTCACTAGTATGATATTAAAGATACCGTTTTGTATCAATTTCGGCACAGTACGTGTGAATATTTATCAATGTACAAATAAGGTGCATTTTAAATAATGGAGATTTGTTGCTGAGGTGGATGATATTGAATCAGTTTTGTTCTCTGAGCTGGTCGATTAAATCAATTAGCTCACAAAACACATCCGTTTCGAAGTGCATTTATTTTACCAAAGAGTTATAACTAAAACCCATTCATTCCTTAGGAAATACGAGGAATTTTCAGCTTTGGAAGAATATTTTGTGTAAGCAGGAAAAGCGTGTATATTTTGGATTGCAGTCCTATTCACTAACTGAAATTTTGACTATTAAATTCAAGATTTACCTCAGAAGGAATGAAGGAGGGTTACAATTATTTAATGCTATGCACAGTGCTACAAACAACGTGGAACAAGAGAAGGAGGAAGATTTCTATGGACAACTACAAACAGTAATTGACAACATCTCAAATGGGAATATCAAAATCCTCATGAGCGATATGAATGAAAGGCGAACTGGGAGCAGATAATACAGGGAGGGAACCCATCATGGGTCGAGAGGCTTTCGTTTGGAGAAATGAATCAGAAAGGAGGATTGTTCGCAAACTTTTTCGCTTTCAATGATCTGGTAATCGGAGGCAGCGTGTACAAAAACAAGGATATACACCAAGCAACATGGATTTTGCCTGACGGACACCACAAACCAAATTGATTTCATCCCAGTGCTGCTCAAGAAGGTGGAGACGCGGTTAGTCTGTCGAGAAGGGGAGCAGATGTGGGCTCACACCATCATCTGTTTCAAGGAACCTTCAAGATGAAGCTGAAATCCCTGAAAGCAAGTGGAGACAGGCCATTGTAATTCAAGTTCACCATTCAGAAACTGAATGACAAAACCAAAAGAGATGACTTCACTACAGATAAGATCAGATGACACAATGCGCTGTTCACTTTGAAGGACTCTTGAATCGACCGCCACCTGCAACTTTCCCAGAAATACCAGCAGCAGCATGCGTGGAACTGCCATTGGACAATAGCCCTCCGATGAAGACAGGAATCCTGAAAGCGATCAATTTACTGGAGTCCGGGAAGGCATTAGGACCAGGAGGGATTCACCTTTACTACGAAGCACTGAGAACAGATCCAGAGACTGCCACAGGTGTACTCACGCCATTATTGCAAAAGGTACCTACGGATTGCAAGAAAGGCTACCTCGTCAAGCTGCCAAAGAAGGGCGACTTACGCCTCACTCTGCGAGAACTGGCGTGGAATAATGCTCTTGTCCACGCCATGTAAAATACTAAGTCACGTCATCCTGGGGAGAATGAAAGATGCACTGGATGCACAGCTTTGCCACCCATTGGAACAAGCTGGATTCCGGAAAGGTGAATCATGTGCTGATCAGATTCCAATTCTACGCATCATCACTATGGAACAAAGCATGGAATGGCAGTCAAACCTCTCCCTACCTAAACTTCATCGACGTCGGAAAGTCCTCCGACAGACAGCGTTTATCGAGAGGTAATTTGGAAACTACTTCAATACTACAGGGTGCAGTGCTTAGGTTTTAATTAGCCTAACTCAACAGCTGGCTTTATGACAGTGCTACGTGTTATGCAGGTTACCCACAACAGACACCTCTGCGAGGTGGTCGAAGTGGAGATAGGAGTAAGACAGGACTGCCATTATCACCAATGATATTCTTAATTGTGGTGGACTGGATTATGCGTCAGACTGTGCGTTAGGAGTGAGAAGACAGGAATATGCTACAATGACCGATAAGAAGACTCTAGAAGATCTGGATTTCGCGTGTGGATGACCTATGTTTAATGTCACACAAACTAGAAGACTTACAGGCGGAAACCAACAAACTGTCTGAAGAGGCTGGCAGAAAAGATAGGACTGCAGGTGAACATAGGAGAGACGGAGGCGAGGAAGATAACCAACGAAACGCAACAACCAGCACCAATCACCATCAACGGGAGAGATTTAACAGAGGTTACCTCCTTTGCTTATCTGGCTGGGAAGCATCATTTCAACTACAGGCAGTTGGAAGGGATAAAGACGTCAAAGCCAGTCAGAATCGAAAAGGCAAGATACACCTTCATCAACCAGCATAAAGAACAAGATTTGGATTTTCGACACCAATGTCAAGTTCGACCTTCTATACGGGTCATAAGCTTGCACAGCGCGTCTCGTAAAGCATTTTCAACATGTTGCAGACTTTCATCAACAGCAGCCTTCACTATCTCCATACTCACGATCAAATCACCACCCGGCCATTAAGAATTAGTGACAAAAAACTGTGGGAACAAGAACCGATAGCCCAACAGATATGCAGGAGAAAACGGAGGTGGATCGAGCATACATTGAGGAGGCTGTCAAATGACATAGCGCGATAGTTAGAGTGAAATCCGTTAAAAGGGACCAGTAGGTTGTCAGTGTGTTTGAGTAACATGGAGGAGATCATGTTGCGAGGAGGAGATAAGAGATTATGGTGAATCGTGGACCCGATTGAGGAGAACAGCAGAAAATAGAAGAAAATGGAGATGTACTGTTGAATCCCTATGTTCCACTCGGAATCCAAGAGAACAATTATAACTGTTAATAACCGAAAAGTATTACAGAATAGTAGTTTTAAACTGAAATTATTGAACTTCGAATAACCTTTGTGAGAAAAGTACGGAAATATGGTTTTGTTATTTCTAGTGACTTGGTCAAAGTGTTTCCCGACAAACTGCATCCAGAACTGCTGCACGATACAATGTGTCAGATAAGCTCCAGACTCCCAGCTATACCTGGAAGTGGTCTTGTTTCAACTTGCAGACCAGTTTTACCCTCCAGGAATAAGATCCCTGCTGAGGTAATACCTGAAAATCCACGCAGACGAGGAGTTTGTGCATCACTGTTTCCACAATGTGCAGTTCAGACAAAATTCTCAAGATTATGCCCAAAATGCTGGCAGAAATTCAATCCTTTACTCGAAAATTATCGGTGTATTATTTGTGGTGTTTATGTTTGCAAACAATGTGCATTTAAGGTCCCCAAAAAGATATTGGACGTCATGTGTAAAGAATGTTGGGAGATTGCGTAAGTATGCATTTGTAATAATACTATATTATTGTGTTCTTATTTTAATTTGAGGAACTTTTTCGGTAGCGTGATTTGAAGATGCTTAAAATAGACAAGTAAAGGAGAGAAATAATTTAAACTACCGGAGTGAATAATAATATAAATAAGGCATTCCGCAAACTGTTCACCAGAAAAATACTAGGTAATCATAAATGATTACATTTTAATATAAAGTATTCTTGATGTAAGATGTGAGTCTCATTAAAGCTAAACAGTTTACAGCTTATTGAGTAAGGTATCCAGTTGTTAAATCCAGGGAAACAATTATTAGTAAGACATTGTGGGTAAAATTTATTTTGATAAATTCTCACAGTGTTATACAGTAATATTTACTGATGACGTTTCGAACACAATTTATTGCTCATAATCATATCAACTTGCTTGAAACGTCATCAGTAAATATTACTGTACAACATTATGAAATTTTATCAAAGTAAATTTTACCTTTAATGGAATTATACTCTACCATAGTGCATAAGTTCTATTCTTATATCAGTAGAACATTTTGTTGCTGAAATGAATAAAGCAGGTATCAACTGTTATAATTTCATAAGAGCAAGTCAGTCAGCCAAATTCGCATTTTCTGAGGTAGTTTATTAAACCTTAACGTTTGAAACTGTCTTTCCCAGTTTTTAATTCTAATATACTTGGTATGACTTTAATGGTATCAATTAATGTTTAAGTATTGGTTTGTAGGGATTTGATTGATTGGTTACTGGATAAGATCATGAGCTGACAGCGGTGAGAGAACCATTGGACAGTACTCCCAATTTTTCCAATGGTTTTCTAACCGATGTCAGCTCGTGATGAAATGCTGTAACGAATTAATGCTTGTTAATACATTTCACGGAGATTTATTTTGCAACTGGGAATCATGTCATTAAGCAAGAATAACGTAAGTTACCTTAACTGTGAAAATCGAGTTGGTCGGTTCATGTTTTTTTCTAAATATTTTACACACCCCTTTGGTTAATACTATTAGACAATATTTTCCATAAAACTTTCCTAATTCATTTTACGTGATAGGAAAATTTGAATATTTTATTTGAAGATCTGTAGTCCAGATGATGGTCTTTTTTGTATTGATGCCTGCTTTGTAGAAGCACACAGTCAAAAGATTAAATACCTCATGAACAAAATTTTCTATTTGGATACACTTGAACATGATAACAAGAAAATCGTGAAGATAACCAAAACACAGCTTAGAATATCATGGATTAAGGTTGTTTTACTGATGAAAAACTGCAACAGCTCATTTCACTTTTGAAGTACATTTGAAGATGTTGTCTATAAAGACTATTAAAGCTTAACTAGTAAAACATTTAGCTTACAGAACACAGTGACATCAAAAAGCTCTTATATTTGTATTACTGATTCTTCAACTATAACTGAGGTAAAATAAGCAGGACACGATATATATATATATATATTGTAATGGTGCAAAGTCATATATTTTGTGTTGATTGATTCTTTAACAGTTCCATTATCGATTTCTCTCTGCAATCAGGAGGAAACGTAGACACAATCAGTATGTGGCTTCATCCTGATTGCAGTAGTGCCAACATTTAAAATGACCGTAGAGAAAAGCTATTCTTGCTTCGTCAGTGATAAAAGGTTTTTTAGTTGAATAGGTAAATTTAGTAAAACCTTATTTTATAATGAATTCTTATGTGACTTGTTATTTAGAAAAAATGAAAATAGTTTATGCAGTACAAGTTAATATATACGATGAAGCACCTGTGGAATTGAAAACAACCTGCCTTACTGCCTACAAACCTTGAACAATATTCAATAAAGTATCGCTTCTTATAATTTCTTCTATGGTACTTTTATAAATTAATAAGTCATATGAAAATGAGTACTTATGAGATACTATCTAAGTAGTAGACATTCACAGAAGATTAATGAAATATAAAAGACACACCTGGTATAAATAAAGGACTCTTTTCGTTCTTCCAAAATCACTCCAATTTATGCATTCTATCATAATATCAGTGACGTTTGTTTTAGAATGTAGATTGATTGAATATAAATAAATGAGTTGAAAATAAATGCTTCCAAAAGGTGATTGACATGTTCTTTGACATGATTTTGAACAAATTTACTTTCCGTAATCACAACAACATATGAAATAGTTCACATATGTTTACCTTATATATATATATATATATATATATATGTATAGAAGGTCGAACTTGACATTGGTGTCGAAAATCCAAATCTTGTTCTTTATGCTGGTTGATGAAGGTGTATCTTGCCTTTTCGATTCTGACTGGCTTTGACGTCTTTATCCCTTCCAACTGCCTGTAGTTGAAATGATGCTTCCCAGCCAGATAAGCAAAGGAGGTAACCTCTGTTAAATCTCTCCCGTTGATGGTGATTGGTGCTGGTTGTTGCGTTTCGTTGGTTATCTTCCTCGCCTCCGTCTCTCCTATGTTCACCTGCAGTCCTATCTTTTCTGCCAGCCTCTTCAGACAGTTTGTTGGTTTCCGCCTGTAAGTCTTCTAGTTTGTGTGACATTAAACATAGGTCATCCACACGCGAAATCCAGATCTTCTAGAGTCTTCTTATCGGTCATTGTAGCATATTCCTGTCTTCTCACTCCTAACGCACAGTCTGACGCATAATCCAGTCCACCACAATTAAGAATATCATTGGTGATAATGGCAGTCCTGTCTTACTCCTATCTCCACTTCGACCACCTCGCAGAGGTGTCTGTTGTGGGTAACCTGCATAACACGTAGCACTGTCATAAAGCCAGCTGTTGAGTTAGGCTAATTAAAACCTAAGCACTGCACCCTGTAGTATTGAAGTAGTTTCCAAATTACCTCTCGATAAACGCTGTCTGTCGGAGGACTTTCCGACGTCGATGAAGTTTAGGTAGGGAGAGGTTTGACTGCCATTCCATGCTTTGTTCCATAGTGATGATGCGTAGAATTGGAATCTGATCAGCACATGATTCACCTTTCCGGAATCCAGCTTGTTCCAATGGGTGGCAAAGCTGTGCATCCAGTGCATCTTTCATTCTCCCCAGGATGTCACAGTAGTTAACTTACTCTGCCCGATCACTATTCAAAACTGAAAGCTGATTATCGGAGTCGGGGTGACATTACTGAGATTAAATTAGTATCCTTAAGAAATTCTGATGTTCCCAGTCTGCGTTAACCTAGTTTCAATCAGTGCACTAAATAACGTGACAGTTGAATAGAATTAAACATATTTTACATGCAAATAAAGTACAAATTTTTTTGGGAACCTTAGGAAGTTGCATTTTTGGTTATGCTGACATAATGTACTGGTGTAAACGCAACAATAATTCATTTGATGTTAACCTGGTGTTATTTAATAGATGATGGCTAGTTATAAAATAGTGAACGACAGTCACTACTTTCAAATTTCAGTAGAAAAACCATTTCATTTGATTTTAGATGAACCTAGTTAACGAGTTCTGAACAGGAGAAAATTCGACTCTGCTGTCAACTACTGCCTATCAAGTAACATCAGAAGTGGTTTTTGTTTCTTTGTTAAAATGTTAGTTAGGTCAAATAATGAAACAAAGCCATAACGTTTGCAATTTATTTTAGGAAATGTTACTGTAAAACAGGCGATTGGTTCAATCAATACGTAGAGTCAAAACTACCCACTCCACTGAAGTTTGACTTTAAATTTATTCAGCTTCAAAGTGGTAATAGTAAGGCGAGTAAGTGAGGCTATTGTAATAACCTGTTAATGTCTTTATTTTATGATAAATTCCTTTCATTATAATACAATGAAAGTAGAAATATGTACTAAAATTTTTAATGTCAGTGAATCTATTCATACAAATTCTGAAATTCGATTCATTATTCGAACGAGAACACAATACAAACCAAAAAGAGTTATTGCTGATCAATCATCTAAGATATTATAAAAATACAGGACGATTTCATTGTTGGAATCCAGTGATACATAAGGAGACCGTATTTTTTTGAATAAGGTAGTTAGCTTATGTCTTCTAATGGCAATAATAACGATAATGATAAAGTCCACACATACAATAAGTTTTACAGTTTAAATCTAATAATTACAATGAAAAGATGGAAAATCTAAAATGTATTCTCTTATGGTTGGAAACTCTGTCTTTAAAAAATTAAACCTAACTTTCGGAGTGAAATGAATGACTTCTGTTGGTGTGGGCTCCATGAATAATTGAATACAACAACAGATTCTGTAATTTTATGCTGAGGTTGCTTGTTTCCATGATGTTCATTCGACAAGTATGATACAGCGCGTAGCCAACCAACGAAAAAATTCCACTAGCTAAAAGCATTTCACTTTCTATGAAAATCCAGCACACCTGTTTTCCTGAAATGATACATCATAATAAATTTTTATCAGTAAAAACTAGCGAATCATTCAAAATACAGTGCACGAAAATGAAATGCCTAAAAATGTTGACGTTTTCGGCATTGTGTGTACAGCGGTCAGTGTTGTGGCGACAAATTATCTCAAATATTTTTTTTACAGTATCAATGTTAATTAACTTTACTGACATTAAGAAAAGTGGTTTCATTGTTTAAAAGACTGATAATCAGTTAACTACTGTATTTCTCGAACCGAGAGTTACCAAACAAAAAATTAGAATTAGACATATTTATTCTAATGTGTTCAGAAGGTTTGAAAATACTACTTACGTTAACAGCCTCAAAAATATGCAATATACAGATATTGACGTATAAACACTTAACGATCAGTTCACTGGTTACAGATACTCCGGAGACTTTGATTTTTCAACCTTATCTTTATTTATGTGTTTAGGCGGTGAGCTGATTGCATATTTTGCTCGAAAATGGAGAGAAAAAGTAAAAGTGAGTAACATGTACTAAATTATACTTTAAAAGAAATTAAACTGTGTTTCGGAGACAATTAGTAACATTCATTGATTGTCCTATCTCTTAGGTCGATCTTAAATTGAGTTATCTTATTCACGAACTCAGAGACAAAAATCTATGTCACAACATATACGATGCCACTTAATTTAATACCAACTAAAAGGAATAAAACAGCGAATCACCGACATGAAAACTAAGCAGTATTCTCACCAGATTATACAATAAATAGGTATATAATAGTTAAAAAATCAATTCAACTAACACAGACGATGCAAGTTCGTTCATAGTCATAATGAGAAAAAAACCCATAAAAAAATTCTCTCTCAATCATACACATCATTATATTCAAAAAAAATTTAAAATAGATGCGATTCCCAGAATTGTATACGAACATATTGATAACTTTAAAAAAATTCAAACTTTTAGGAGAAATCAAAGTCTTCAGTGGTAAGTTATTTTGATTAATATCACATTACAAACAGCTTTTCTTGTGAACACATCAGATGTATTAGTTGCTGGTATTTCACTCAAGTAACGTTTCCCAGTAACAGTGCAGAATTTATCAAATGACAGTTAACTGGCTATTGTGCTGAGCGACACTATTTAGTTCTGATTATCAGCAAATCGAATGAGATGAAGAGCTTTTGCGTTTTTCACAAGATTTCATTTTAATTGACTTAAAGTAAGATCGAGTTAAGAATCGATATCAGTAGTAGTACCGTAAAGCTGCATTTGCTTCGTCTTCGCCCCAAACGCCAAGAGCAATCAGCGCGATAGTGTGAACGAGCAGATATTCATCCACTGAGATAAATACCAGAAGTGTGTTTCCATCCAAATTCACATGTGATAGAGTATTATAAACGGTCAGAATTTGTATATCATAAGTGATTGAATAAGCAGTTAAAATTGACTCTTAGTTTGTTTAATGCTGACACAGAAGTTTTTGATTTTCAAATCGCATCGATGTAACTGTGTGTTATAGAAATTATTTTGCTGGATAATTTCGGGCTTCATAAAGCTAATTAGCAGTTATTTCGTCACTTACCAAGAGAGTGTATGCGATCATAATATTGTTCTTCATGTATTTCTCTTAAATAAAAAAGTTTCACCAGTCGCAGGCCAGTCTTTTTCTTCTGCAATTTCGCTGTTTAGTGAAGTAGAAGTTACGAGGGAAAAACAGTTGTACATTTCACCCAATCAAGGCGCCTATATGCATGTGCTCAACTCTCTCAGACACGTCTTATAACGTTCGCTGTTCCTGAGTTTCGTAACAAAGCAGCCAACTACTGCATTCTTGCTTTAAATGGTCACTCAAGTTATTGCCGAATAATGACAAATCTTGCTTTGAAATGAAACGGAAGTTGAGTGTATCACCCTAGTTTTAATTGCTATATCAAATGGTCGTATGTGTTTGTACAGAATTCAGCTGAACAATGACATGTTATCAGACATTTCTTTAACAGATATGAGGAGTTTTCATTTGTTCATGTTGTACAAACATTATTCTCAAACGTCATAATCGTGCAGGATCGGTCGATAGCGATTTTCTTAACATGTGAAAAATGTCAATTTATCAATGATTATAAAATTTGTTAATTTTTTCTCTCTTCAGTCATTGTCACTGCGAGAAAGTGAGCGTGTCAATATTACCATTCCTATGACTAGTTATATTGCTTTCAATAAATTTCATTCAAATCTGTTGTCAGAATGTGATATATTTGTGATAATTTTTCGTATATCCTGTGCCAAAACTCAACTTGTAAAATACTAGGATATATGCGGTCATGAGCTTCCATTGTTTATGAAGTCAGACTGCTTTTGCGATAGGTAATGAATTCGGCTGTAAGTCACCACTGCAGATATGAATTAGAAGAACACTGTTAACAAATGCGTTTTGGTTGATCTCTGATGAGTGGTGGTTGGTATCATTTGACGTGTTAACGTGTAATGGTTTTCTTTTTTTCTTAATGCCACGTATAGCTTTGTCAGTACATCTCTACTGTATCCTGTTGTCTGCACTCCTCATTAGCTGGTTCGATGATCGCCCATAAGCTCTGAACTCCTTCTTAGACTACCTTTGCCACGTCACAGTCGGACGCCCAACTCCTCGTCCCTCATCGGTTCTGCACTCTAGGACCTGGCGTTCGTTGTCCCGGAAACGTCTCCTCATTGTGTCCGATCCATCTCCCTTGACTTCTGTATATTTTGTGGTCAGTATGTTTTGGGGTCCTTCATTCCCATAGCTTCTTGTTGCTGATTGTTTCTGGTCATCTGATCTTCAGCATCGAGCGAAGGCAGCAGTTGATAAAGGTTTGCAAACTGTTGGAAGTGCTTTCGGTGACGCGCCAAGTTTCTAGCCCATGTAGAAGAACTAACTTATTATTGCAGTTTAAAATCCCAATTTTCATTTCTTGTGCTGAGCGCAGCCGATTTTCAAGCTTATATTGGAGTGATGAATGTCTGTCTTGCCTTTCTGATTATCGTTTTAATATCTTCATCCATCCCTCCGCCTGTAGTTGAAAGGATTTTGCCTAGATAAGTGAAGAAATTGACCTCTTTCCAACTTCTTTTGTTGATAGTAATTGATACCTGTTGATGCTGCCTGTTGGCTATCTTCATCATCTCCGTCTTCTCTATGTTCACTTGAAGTGCTGTCTTTGCTGCTTTTTCGGTCAACATGTTGGTTTTCGTTTGTGGGTCTTCGAGGTTGTGTAACATGAGACAAATAGTCTGCAAAATCGGGAACTTGTAGAGTCTTCAGCGTAGAGGTCCAGTGTATTCCCATCTTTTCGCCCCCAACAGTCTGACACACAGATAGTCCAACACAATATCATCGTTGGTGATAGTAGGCAGCCTTGTCATATACCTGTCTTCACTTCAACGGCTTCTCTGACGTTTCCGTTGTGGATCACTTGACATGTGGCATTGTCATATAATTTTCGAATCAGTTTGATGAAGATTTTTGACACAGTACAGTGTTGGAGTGTACGTTGGTGCTTCAGCGGTAGAATGCTCGCCAACCATCCATGTGGTCCGGAGTTCGATCCCTGGCCGACTAACTCCTAATCTTCACTAAGATAGTACTAAGCCTGAGGAACAGGTAAGGTCGGGCGTGATGCTAGTCATTTCACACTGTAAAATTAAAACCACTGCTATGGAAACTTAAAAGCTGTAGCTCGAAACCCTATGTTCCACTCAGGACATAGAGGAAGAAAATAAAATAATCACAAAATATGTAATAGTTTTGAAGTAGTTTCCAAATTGTTTCGCGCTATCTGAGGCCCCTTCAAAGTCGATTAAATTAGGATGGAGAGTTGACTACCATCCTATGCTTCGTTCGATGATGATGCGTATGGTTGCAATTTGATCCTCACATGACTTACTTCTCCTGAATCCTGCTTGTTGCAGTCGGCATTCTTTATTCAGTGCATCTTTTACCCTCTTCAGGATGAGGCGACTTAGCGTCTTACTTGGTATGGAAAAGGTTGTGATTTCGCGCCAGTTCTTGCAGAGGCCTAAGTTACCCTTCCTTGGTAGTTTAACAAGGTAATCTTTCCCCCAATCAGTAGATACGTTTCCTCTCTCTCAAATGTTTTGCAATCGTGGTGTCAGCATATCTGTTGCGGTCTCTGTGTCTGTTTTCAGTGCTTCACAAAGGATTCTGTCTGGTTGTTCTGCTTATCTGACTGACTTTGAGTAACTTTATTTTATTCAATTCTTCTGCTTTTGTTGAAAGATTGGTGTCCACTAGCAGTTCTGTGGCCGGAGTTGGTGGTGTGTTTCTGGACGTGTTACAGGTGACGGTTGATTCAAGAGTCCTTTGAAGTGATCAGCTCATTGTTTTATTTGTCTCTCTTCGCTGGCAATTAGGTCCCCTTGACCATCTTTTATAGGTTTCAAATGTGTTGTTCTTTTCCCTAATAGAGACCTAGTTATCTGGTATAATTTTCTGAGGTCTCTTTTACCTGTGGCCTGTCTGTTCTGCTTCAGTTGGCAGAGTGTCGTCGAACTATGTTTTGTCTGTCCTAGCCCTCTTTTTCACTTCTTTATTCAGTGCGACGTACACCGAACTCAGCTTCTCCTTCTTCTTCTGTTGTCCATCTTTGCATTGAGTCATCTTCTGTTTCACCATTCTCCTCTCCTCTCTTCTATTAGCTTCTATATAGGTGTTCTTGGAGAGCCGTTCCTTGTCTTGTCTCTTTTGACTTCCTGAAACGGTTGTACACGTTCTCATCCACATAACTTTCTGAGGGTTCCAATGTTCTTCCACACAGATTCCCATACTGGTGCTACGTAGTGTCTCCGACTTCTCTGTGGTAGCTGAAGTGAAGGTGCCTTTTGTAGTTGCGTCTTTCAGTTTCTGAGTGTAGAACTTAAGTTGTGGTCAGTCTCCAGTTGTTCTGAAGACTTTCAGCCTGACATTGAAGGATCCTTGGACTAGACAGTGGTCTGAGCCCACGTCTGTTCCTCTTCTCGACTTCGTATCTAGCAGACTGCGCCTTTGCATTCGTCGGATTGGCATGAAGTCTCTCTGGTTTTTAGTGTCCGCGTCAGGTGAAATCCATGTCACCTTGTGTATATCCTTGGGTTTTCACACATTACCTGCAGTCACCAAATCACTGAAGGCGCAGAAGTCTGCAAAGAGTTCTCCATTATCATTCATTTCTCAGAGGGCCTTCCGACTCATGATGAATTCTCCTCCCGTATTGTCTGCTCCCAGTTCGCCTGGCATTCGTATCGTCCATCAGGGTTCCGGTGTCACCATTCAGGATCTTATCTATCAGTGTTTTCAGTTATCCATAGAATTCGTCCCTCTTCTCTTGATCTGCATTGTTTTTAGGAGCATATCATCGGATAATTGTAACCTTCCTACTTTTCTTCTCTTTGAGTTAAATCTAGCTATCATAATCCTGGGGAAGATTGTTTCCCACCGCATGAGAGCTTTGACTGCTGATGGTGACATCAAGATAGTCTTTAAAAAACTAGTGAGGCCAGTAAGTTAGGCAGAGCTATCATACAATGTATCAAATTGAAATTACCTGCATTTTGGAACAGAAATCAACTACCATGGTAGGCGAATTTGAAAATATGCCGTTGAAGCCCTCTGTTTCACTCGGAACTCATGGGAATAACAATGCGATTAATCCATGCAAATTACGAAAGTTTATGTGTTGAACAAATTAAGCCATTGATGATGATGCTACCACGTCTTCATCAAAATTTAGAAGCAATAACATTAAGGAGTGAGAGGAAGATTGCAATGGAAAGGACTTCTTCTGATAGGAGGCAAACATAACTTCGATCCACAAAGTCTGCGGCTGTTAGTTTTAGCTTCGTGGGGAACTGGCGTTCTGGGAATCAATGGTTGCAGGCTGTTGGTGACAACGCTTAAACTAGCGTGGATGGTTGTACTACTTTCTCTCCTCTTCGCATCACAGGTCTCCTGA